TTCTTTTTTTGGCTTATTTGTGCTTGTATATAAGAACCCCACATATTCACCCCGACCCACCTCTACTTTGCTTGAGCTTACCGTGTAAGGTAATTTTGTCGCGTTTGGCCAAAGTGAACGTAACAAGCTCATCAACTGAATAAAATAATCTGAACAAATCGTGGTCAAATTGTCAATAAACTCGATCAGGGCATCGAAGGACAAACTCGTGGTCTTAAAGAATTATTGAGTTCCAACACAAAATCGAGGTTCAGGTATTCTTTAATGACTACTAAACGAGTCGTTTGTATTGTTACGAAGTTAATCCACGTTTAAGAAGTTACTTTTAAATTTTAGATAAAACTTGATGGATTGTTCCTTAATTTAATATTTCGGTTAGTCTTCCCTTCAGGAAGGCGGCTTTTAGCTTGCGCGGTTGGAGTGTTCCCCGTCAGGGTTCATATTCCGTTTCATTTGTTTATTTCATAGACTTTGTACCGTTATCGGTAGTTTTAAGATTGGTTCTTATCAAATTTGTTAAAGCCGAACTTTTAGGGCTTGATGATGGCTTCTTAGCCGAAACATCACGCCTTAGCCTTATTTTTCAACATCAAATTTATTGAATAAATTGAATTTTATGGGGAAGGTTTTAAGTTCTTAAACGTGGATTATCATTGCACCCCATTTCGAGTTAGAGAAGGAAAAATGGATACCCAAAGTTGTTACGAAGTGCCTTTCATCTGTGCCAAAGCGACAGTAAAATAAAAATGCAAATGTAAACCTTTACTGGCGTGCAAGTTGTGGCAGTACTGTCAGTGAACCATGCACGCATAGACCAAAAAAGTTGGAGGGTTCTAACTTTCTATGCGTCAGTATTCGGCTGGCGCCACTACTATTTGCTAATGTAAACTTGTTCTTTGCACGCGAGTAGTAGCATCAGTATTAGTTGACAAGACTACATTTGTGTTTATTTGACCAGTTCTTTGACACTGAGCAAAAAGTGGACTTCGGCACAAATTGTTCAGTTCTTGGAATATTATGAACATGCCTTTGTTTGCGGGACGCACATTCCCATTGACATAAAGACAGGAATTTACGAGAAGATGTATATGAAACCATTGCAAGTAAAGTAAATATCAACGGTTTCCGTGATTCCGATGTAAAAGCTAAAATACGTTCCATAGGAAACGCATATACATTGGAATTAAATAGGAGCTCCTTATACAGCCACAACACGTTGCACTTAAGAAATGAGACTGGCTAGACAAAATAAAATGTCATTATATGTGTAAACTTTGCTAGCGTGAAAGTTCAACTGGAGATAGTAGTGGCGCCAGCAAATCACTGCATATGTAAACTCACTATTTACTGCTTAATTATCAATGAACATGGATCACTTCAACAAAATCTTGCACTTGCAAAGACCTTTAAAAAGACAAGAAAATACAAATACACGTAAAGCAACGCCGCCAATGGAAGAGATCTACTATTAAGAAGTTAAAACCATGTTTGCAAAATACTAACAATTTTAAGCGGCAAATTTAAACTGTCTGTAGTTATTCTGGATTACCCGGTATATAAACATATCAATATTAATTTCCCAATACATTTAGAGATAATACAGACTTTACCGTTAGATGTGCATTTTCACGGCTTGCTTCTCTATTATAACGCGATCGAAATAATTAAATTTTAACCCCTAAACACAAATCAGATTAATTTAATTAAGGATAACGCATCCACTTATTTGGGATTAGCAGCCCACGCATCTACCCATTCATTTTTCTAAAACTATCAAGATATTTAAATCGCGTCATAAAACAAAATCCTTCTAAGCCTGGAAATTAATGTTCTATCCCCTAATTTAATAAAGATAAAATTTAATTACAATTTTCAAGAAAGGAGATTAGCGTTTTGGACGTAATTTAATGTTCCTTCTGCTAAAAGTTAGTTCACAAGATATTTTAAGAGCCCGAAATCGGAAATTTAATTACTGCATTATTTACGCTTTGGTTTGCATAATAAGAAATAACAATGCCTATAGGCATAAAATACCCATTTAGCATTACCGTCACCCTTTTGAAGGTGGAGTGTAGTGTAGTTTTATGCCCATGCTTTAAAAAGGAAACGGCTGAATTCAGCTACGTAATGACCATGGATAAGTTAATTTTATGCAGAATGAGTTTAAAGTTTGTGATCTGGGAACTACCACATTTTTTTTAAATATTTTATTCAGTAGCTGCAGTAAGAACTTGTAGTTATGCAAAATATACCAAAAGAAAATAAAAATATAATACCATTCCTCCTAGGGAGCCTCAAAGGGTTGCTTTTGACACATCGAGACCGCTTTTACATAATTTAGGAAGCACTGAACGCGTAATTTCCCCAAAGATCGCTTAAGATCAATCCTTCGAGAATCACGAATGGCTCTTGGTCTATTCCTAGATCTTTCGAAGGCCTACGATCTGGTAGACAGGAATATTTTATTACTGAATTTATTTAAATACAGATTACAAGATGTCGCTTACAACTGGATTAAGTCCTATTTCCAGAGTAGGCTTCAGAAGGTAGCAGTTCAGCCATAAATCAATCTTTCCTTCTACCCAGATACGATTACCGTAAGGCAGTATAATCGGCCTTTATCATATATCTTTATGTAGAAAGATTTTTCGATTGATGTGTTAGTGGGAACCACGGATACCACCGTGGTGGGAACGGATCGAATCAAGTATATTTTCTCCGAGATTTTCTCACGTAACTATACTATAAACGAATATTGTGGTATTTTTCCTTATTTCGCGTGCTTGTCTCTAAAAATTCTGCAGGTAACAGAAGATTTGTGCCGTAAACTAATTCGGCCGAAGTGATGTCCCTATATCCATTTTTAAAGCACTGCGTAGACCTAACAAAATTAATGTTTTGACCCAGTCCTCATCTTCATAGCAACGAATGCCAGCTTTCGTTTGACGATGAAACCGCTCGACCAATCCATTTGTTGCTGAAGGATGATGTAGTTCTTAGATGTTTGAATCCTAAATATTTTGATAATTCCCGAAATAAGATCTGATTCAAACTGCTTTCCTCTCGGCTTTCCTTCAAATCAAAATTGTGGAACTAGGTATTCTTCTAGTGGTGACACTGTACGTCTAATCTAGTGACTTTATTTCTTTGGCATGGAACACATGCTTTTGTCCATCTCGATATATTATCTTTCTGCATTCCAGGTCATACAAACTTTGAATTTTTTTGTGTTGCCCTAATTCCTGGATCACTGAAAAAAATTGAAGGTCTGTCTACGAAATGAGGGAGTTAAATACAGTTTTATTTGTTTACCTGAAACATCGCAATATAAACAGCTTCCCTGAGCATTTTCGATCGGAATTTGCTTTAAATCTTTATCATCTTTATCATTACTCAAATCCGATTAAATTCTGCATCCGAATTGTGTTCTTCTAGCAATTTTGAATAATCATCACCTGCACATGTCCTGTGACTCTTTTGCGCGGAAGTTAATGTTTTCGTTGAAAAATGTTTTCATTCTGACTATACCTTTGGTTTCAAAACAGATCCAACAGCAAAATCAGAAGCATCAACCATTACACGTAAAGGTGTGCCAGGTATTGGATGGGTTAATAGGGTAGCATTACCCAACGCCTTCTTTAAGTTATCAAAGGCTTTCCTTTAAAATTTTGCCGTTTCAACATAATTATTATTGAGGGGGATTTTTGATCATAGCAGAATTTGGGATGAATCTTCTATAAAAGTTCACCATGACTAGAAATCTTCATATTCAACTCTAAATGCTTTAGATGTTCTCGTTTTCCGATGCAATTAAAATATCGTCAATGTATGTGAAACAAAATTAGAATTGTGTAAAGATATCGTCCATAAAACGTTGCAACGTCTGTGCGGCGTGTTTTTGGGACGTCCTCAGGTACTATCGGAATTTGTAAATACCCTTTAAAAATATCTAATGTAGAGAAAATTGTTTTACCAGGCAATCCTTGGGTTTTCCTCGGCTACGGCACAAGGTCATGCCCTGGGTCACCCAGGCTCAGGCCACTCAGACATAAGATCTGGACCTTGGAATTTCCGATTACGATTACGTCATAAGAGAATGACATTGGGATTTACCGAAGGTCGTGACCCTGGAATTTCCCAAGGCCATTGCCCAGGGATTTCCCAAGGTCATGACTGTGGGATTTCCCAAGGTGTAGGTCTTGGATTCTGGACCTAGGTCATGGCTTTGAGTGTGGCATGACCTTGGTCCAGAATCCAAGACCAACACCTTGGGAAATCCCACAGTCATGACCTTGGGAGTGTGGCCTTCTGTGAGATGAGTGCGCACAAAGCAAAACCAAACCGTGTCATAAGTAAATATGCATTTCAAAATTTTACAAAGAAGATAAAAAAGCAAGCAAGCCGGCAAAACAAAAAAAACTTTACTTACATACGTTATCTTAATTCATGTTTGAAAATCCACACTTTTTCAAGTAACTTTAAGAGAAAGATTATAGTGAAGCTGTTAAAACTGGTAGAAATAATATAGCCGCATACTAACTGAAATTAGAACTATCTATATGTGTGTTTGATAAACAAACTTTCCTTTGTAAATAAGTCCCAAATTTCATATGGGTCTTGGCATATTGAAGTCATTGAAATAAATAAGACCTTCTTCAGAGGCACCTCTAAATAGCATTATGGGGGTCACTCTGTAATTGGACGCATGCCTGTTGAGGGCCCAAAACAAGAGATGGATAATAATTGAATTAAATAATTGAATTGAAAAAGACTAAGGAAGGAACTTATGTATTATTAGCTAGAATCCTATTAAGTCCTCAATATGGCGGACGTTCATACGCGCAGTGGCGTACACACATTTAAAATATTTAATTTTGTGGCGTATAATACTGGAATTACATACATTTTACTACAGACTCATTTTTGATCGCATTGTATACAAACATCAAATCAAAACCAGATAATGCTAAATTATAAATTAATTTTACGTTTGCTTCTAGATCGCCGTTATGGACGGCATTAACCCATGCACACGCACTTGTGATGGAAGATCCGGATAGATGACAGGACGACAAAGAAGAGCATTTAGAAGATCCCGTAATTCCGCACATTGTTCCCTTACCATTTGTACGTGGCCACTAACAATTTATCTAACAGAACATCATATGTACTGTGTGCTTCATATTTGTGTAAATATTGTACAGTTAGATTATATATATCAATGTTTTATCAGTGAAAACAGATATTTATTTATTATTAGGTAATTAAAGAAATGGAGATGCTATTGTAAACTTGAATTATGTAGTCATACAAAAAATTGTCAAATTACCCTATTTTAATAATAAAAACCTTGTGGAAATCGACACAAATTTTCAATGAGATGAACACATAAAATAGCTATAATGGAAAAGGTAGTAATATTGTACAAAGAAATAGTTTTTTTGTCCTGAAAAGAGAAGTACCCATAGTAAAGGACAAAATTTTTTTCGTAAGACTGCTGGTGGCGTAACTACAAGCATAACCACACGATAGGAAGATCAAACATTTGTGCCTGAAAACACAAACGCTGAAAGCAAGGTCGTTCAAGGCTCCTTACAGTAATAAGCTCTCTAGGGCACGTAACTCGAGGAGAATTTAATGAACTGCTTGTAATGTAATTACTTCATAATCAGGGTATATATTTGGGGAGTTTTCTGTATAAATGTAGGGGACTTTTAAAATTAAGGACGTAAATGGTTCACAGTGGCGACAGGGGGCTTTTTGTTTGGAGGGGAGCTCAGTAAAACGCCCACGATGGTTACCATTAGATAAAGAGGTTTTTATTCAATGTTATATACGGGGTGGTTCCTACGCGACGCAGCATAGGGATTTCAATGGTATTTCTTTATAAAAAGTCTAAATATGTTCTTTTCAGAGAAAAAATACTGCATCTGTTCATACCAGGGTTCATACAATTACTCATAATTTTCCGTTTTTCAAAACCGTAGAAATCGACAAAATGAAAAGGTTAATTTTAGAATAAATCAGATACGGTATTACCTAAAAAAACAGCGATAACATTTCATTATTTGTCTTTGATGTAGGTATATTAAATGTATACTTGTTTATAAATTAGATAATTATAAAATTGTTTATTATGTATTTAAATGAAGAGAAAGAGGAAATGTTAGTTGTTTTATGTCCGCCAAGTAACGTCTTTATTTAGTGTGAAGTACCTCAATCGGCCGATTCCGAGCAGTGCAATAACGTTCAAAATGCCCGTCAAAACCATCAGGAAAACAACAATACATTTTGGCTGCTGTAGCGGAAAATCCGAACATAAGTTTAAGAACAATTTATTCTTCCTCAAATCAATTTCTTTTTTTTCGATTATATACTGTGGTTCCGGAAGATGATAAACAAATAGTATCTGATGCAGATGCAGCATTTCATTAATCCATCCATAGACGCTTTTTCTTGCGTCGGTCGGTTAGTTGAAACAGAATTAAACATGAAAATCGTTGGACGTCAAACAACGATAAATTAATGCGACGCGCTTGCTTGTAGTTTGTTAAAAGATTCCAAAGCATCACTAATTTATAAAAATGTAATTTTTTATTTTGTGGATTTCTACGGTTTTGAAAAACGGAAAATTATATAAGTAGAGGTTAAAATCTTAGATATTAAAAATAGTTTTTGACAGTTTTACATCCTTTATAATGCCTAATGTGCATTCACAATTTTTACGAAATCATAATAGTAACTGTTTTGGCAAAACATTTTTTTTAGATTTTTAACTTTGACATTTTTTTTTCTGTTTTTTTTTGTAATAAAACCTGGCACAATTTTTATAGGTTGTACGCAGAAAAATAAAGAAAAAAAAGTTCGATACCGTTGCGGCGCTCCAAAATGTTTTTTTCAAATATCCGGCTCGTTATTGTTCGTTTCAGTATGCCTAATATACATATCCAAGATTTGAACAAAATACGTCGAGCCGTTACTTCGCCCAACGTACGCACGTACGAACGTACGCACATACACGCAGATGGAAAAAAACGTTATTCTTTATATGATTAAAATGATCTAAAACGTCGACATTTGATGAAATTTTAATATATCCAAAAACGGTGATCACAATAGCCACCTAACTCGCGCTAGTTAGCTAAAAAGGGATTTCCTATCAAAAATCATGCGATATATCGAATCTTTGACTACACAAGGTCCTCATTTCTCCCATTTGCTGCTGATTTGTCTACAGTCCCAAGTAACTTGAGGTGGTTACAAAATCTCCCGTCAGATAACATTCCGACCTAGCAACAGGTTTTGTTGAAAATACGTAAGAGTATCCTAAACGTTTAAATTCAAAAGATGATTTGCAAGTGATTGAATTTTTTGCAAGTAACTTACGCAAAATGTAGCTACAAACTCGCCTTCGAATTAATCTTATACAATACACGGTCATTAAGTAACTTCAATATTCAAGAGATTTTTCGAATGCGTAATGGTAATTTTGCGTTAAGTCATTACTACCAAACATATGATAGGCCCACTTTCTAGTCTATTTTGTCGGCAACGACTAATAAAAGTTTTTAGGTTAATTAATTTCGAAATAGATTTTAAACATAACACAATCGCATATTATTTTCCGGTAGGTGCTAAAGGTAAGACAAGTACGCAATTGAATTCGACATTTTTGTTTATTTTATAAATACTTTCCACACCAATGAGTCAGTAAATTAGAGGGTGCCCAACCAATCATCTTACGGGGATATGCACACTTTTTTATTTATTTACTTACTTATTTATTTGTTTAACCCAGGGTTTAACCAGACACCATACAGAATAAAAATTCCAATTACATGGCACTGGGGCTGTGAACAAATATTAGTACTTAAGATCTAATTTGATTTATTATTGCATTTAGGGGATCGTGAAAAAAGTCGATATCATTCACTGAGGAGAACTTATTTAAAGTGATCAAGATCTTAATAAGTGGGGAAGTTGTGTTGGTAACTGCAAAAATAGTATTATTTTTCCTTAGCTTAACAATTTACAACAGTTTAATTAATGGACGGTTAAATAATATAATTTCAACACAATAACTAACCTATTTAAAATTATAGGCTTTGCAAAAAATCCCAAAAATTTTTTTGAGAACACTAAATCCACCCCAGAAACTTTATTAATCCTCGAAATGAATTCATTCTTTGTAGTTCTGATGCCCATGATGAAATACGTCAATTGTTTCCTGATTTATCAATTTCCACCAATTGGCCATTGATCTAGTGAATTAAGGTTTAGTTTAGAAACATTCCCTCTAAGCTGAATAAGGCGAATACAAGTTTTCTGAAAGGAACGTACAAGTTTATTCTTGAGCCATTTATGGATGTTTAAAAGTCAATGTCCATTACCCGCGTATAAGAAAACTTAGTACGACTTAGTTGAATCATCATAATGTCATCCTGTAGACAATTGCAAAAAATGAAGTTCCTGTGTGTACTAAAAATTAGGGTAGGTATCGAAAGGGAATAATTTCAAACATTTTATTCATACTTAAATGTAAGTATGCGGAAACAATTTAAAATGTATCTAGGAATTATGGAAAGCTGCATCAGAACCAGAATTGCAAGTTACCTATACAAAGTGCCCAATTTCTATCAGGAAATGCAACTGCTGCACCTCTAGTGGATAACCACAGAGGATTACGACTGAAGAATTCTCCTTACCGAAGTTTTATGCTCATATGGGTACACGTGTTGTGCAATAAAATCGAGCTGAAATTAATCACTAAAACGAAATAGCTATTTTTCTACAATCGATATCCAAAGTAGGCATTTGCACTCGTATTTGACAACGCAAACATCATCTTTTTCGAGGAATGCCACTTTGTCGCTTACCTACAAGCGACAAAATAAAAAACCGCTCGCTCTCCCAATTATAAACTATAAATCAAATTGCATTGTTCAGAGCTAGGCTCAAAGTGTCCAATGACAACCAGTAAATGACGTCTGAGTGAAAATTTTTGGAAATATATGAACTGCTCGATTGTAGAAAAAATCTTGTGTGTAATTCGAGCGCAAATTGATTGCCGATTTCAAATATAGCTGTTGTGTATTAAGAGCGCAAAATGATAGTCGATTGGAAGGGACAGTCGGAGCGCGGCAATCCCTTGAAATCGACAATCAATTTGCGCTCGAATTACACACAATTATTTGCCATTGTTTTGTAGATGGTGTAATAATATTTAAGATGAGTTTTGTTTTCACTCTAGGTATTATTTACGTAAGTAATAAAAGGTATCTACTCAGTTACGTAAAGTAACATCTAATCTTGTATATCTTACTTATAAACATTGAAAGCAAAGTGGAACGGTATCTTAAAAACAACAAGAGAAAGTGTAACGTGCTAAATATACTTTTGATGCTTGCTCTTATATAATTGGCGTATTGTTTGTATCATAATTATCGTGCATAGAGTACAAGAGTACAAATTGTTTTAATGGTTTTGCGGTAAAGGTATAAATGTCGCATTAAAAATATAGAAATATTTGCATATTGTTTCACCACACAGTGATTTATTAGGGAAGAGGTGTTCCAATGTGCGAATTTACTATAATAATCAATTGTTGATCGAATTAATTAAAACAAAATTGTCGATACTACATGACCATTAATGCAACTTATATAATACCGTATACGACCGCTTTCTATGTTCTGGGAAGAAGGAAACTTCGAGAATGTGAAATAAAACGGCAGTAATGCGTCAATTCATACTCACCATAACGTATGCGTTCGATACCTGCGTATAATTAATGTGCAAAGTAAAGTGTAGAAAGTACATTCGTGCGTACTTCAAATTATCTCATTTCTTCGGTCAAAGTGGAGCACCCAATGGACTGCTATTGGCGGCATTAACCTTGAATTTGAACGTTGATGTTATGTAAGGTCACTCAATATATACCTATACAGAATTATTGTATAATGCAACTTTCACGTTTGCATAATATGCAATTTTTCATATATACATTCGAATATTTTAATCACGTTTTTGCCAAAGGAAAGGGTAACAGAATTTCACAGAAATATTTATTTTCTTTTTTAGCTCAAATCAAAATGTTTACCGCATTGGCACGAACAGATCATAACCTTTGAAAACGATGCGTACAATTAACATTATAGATACCCCCTTCCAAACCGCGATATGTCGGAATGACTGGAAACTGAAAAATCTGAGTATCACTATTAAATCCGAGCACAAGCCAATATCAGGCAGAATTTTATTACAGTTCAAATCTTGAAGTGAACTCAGTTTTGTGTTCTCATTTTTATAATGTTGCTATATTATGCAATCATAAACTGTTTTTTTCTAAAAGTGCACTCCTCCGACACATACTTAAAGGACCAATCTGTGCTTTATGGAATTTCTTCAATTACAGAAACTATTCATAGGCACAGCGCCTGCTTCGAAGAGTTTCATCAAATTTTTGAGGGAATTAATAAGAAACACTTATGGGCTCTGAAAGGTAGGATTTTCATTATTACTTAAAGACTTAGTTATAAAGCGGCATATCTAAATAAAGTTGAAAGAAATTCAATATCCACTAATTTGTTTTGTACACTCCAAATTAATTCACCAACCATTAAACGTGCGAATTGCTATTTAGCGACAATTGTTACTAATTTTAAACTACCCCCAATTTTACGTTAAACTTAAGACGTACAACAAGGAAATGAAGTACCTACCTAGCACTATTTTAGATGGCATAAAATTATGTTGAAATTTGGGAGTTCTAGCGTTTTGCATTTAGAGTTAAAGAAATCCGTCGATTTGCGAGAATCATCGGTATAATTGTTGGAAATAGTTATTTGTACAACTAGTGCAGTTTGACACATGAGCGTAACGAGTGTGTCAATTGAACGAGGAGTTGAAAAACACTTTCTTCTCAAGTTTTACACATAATTTTTTCTGAAACTACAATCAAAATTGAAAAACTATCGTATACAATAATGAAATTTTACACAGAGCAATCTAGATGTTTTAATTTTAAATGTCATAAGATTAATGCAGCAATTGTTTTTTACTTTCCTCACTAGAGAGGAAAATCAGAGCCGTCCTGAGCGAGAGGAGCGGTCGCTATAATACGTGCCTAAAATATCTGTCTGATTAACCGCGCAATATGTTCAATTATTGATTAGTTTAAAATTTCTCGCTGAACATATTCCGCACAGTACTCCACCATAGACTCCTCGGACGCATTACATCAGGAGTATTGGAGTACGGGATGTCCTATGGGATATCTACAGTACTTGTTTACGAATGGGTATAGAGAACACACATCCAGATATCTTATTTCCTTGTTTGCGGCTGCTTTATGATACTGTTTTACAGCATTTGTACCACCATCGAAAAACCCCTCCCTGGGGTTTAGACGTGTATATTTGAAAATGAGTCTCCGTCCAAAAAAGTAGTGATGGCCGGATACAGACCTATTCAAGTTAGGTGTTGCCTGATTTCAGGGGCTACGGTCCGGTTCCCGGTATATTCAGCAGTGGGTTAGGAAGCGAGCTGGTAGCGCCCACATTCATTTCTTTTGTCTTTAGTCGACTTGATCATATCTCTGTTAATACTGACGTACGCACATAACGTGGACGTTAGCGCATAAAATCGACACAAAACGAGCACAAATTAGTTTATTATGGGCTTTAAATGTGAAATGGCAAATCTTCGAAATTGTGGAAAAACTTCTTGCTACCCTTGCAAAGATGTCCGTCGGGCGATGAGTGCAAACGAAGGTAAAAATGGCAAGGACAGTGGTTTCTGCCCGAAGCCAAAAAGCGTTCTCTTTTCCACCACAAAGCGGGAAGAACGAATGGCAATAACCCACACTGGCAAAAGCTATTTATGTTACATCTCAGATATGAACCCAGATTCATATTGGGAAACATCTCAGGCATTTTGCCGCCTAAAAAAGCACCGCGTCAGACAAGTTTCGTAGAGATGTTGCATATTTTATTAGGATCATTAAAAAAAATTAGCACGCCATAGTAATTACCTTTGATTATAAAATACAAGTCTATATTCAAAGGTAATTACCAGGCGAATTAGTAGTTCCGTTGGAATAAGAATAAACTTTTCCAACGTCCAGTTGCACAAAAAATAGTAGGGTGTAAACACGAGTTTATTCTTGATCCAAGTATTTGCACATTTCATTGGCACCATAGTGGGTGGTTTTACACCGTGATTGGCTAATGCCAAAGGCAATAAATAACTAATCACGTTTCGTAACTACTTATTGATATAATCTCAATTATATGTGACCCTTTTAATTTTGTGCGAGAGTCGAAATTCTTTCCACTTTCCTCTTTATCTTTGCTTTGCCTGTTTTTGCTGTTTTGGGAGATCATCGTTCGTCTTCCTCAATTTCCTGTTCCGTGATATCTGTCATAACTCATAACCCCTCTTATGACGACATTTAGTTTTTTGTCGCTCCTAAGTTCATAAGGCTTTTCTTCCGCTTTATTCTTCAGTAACTTTCTGGGGAGTAGAGGTCCTGTTCTTTTCAGATTCGGATCCTTTGGGCATCATTGTCAATAGATGCTGTAATTGGCGCATTTGAGTCATTAGGGTTTTTGCAGTGGGTGCCGTACTCTTGCTCGCATTTCATGTATTTTGGATTGGTACATGGTATAATAAAAACGGTATCGCAACGCGCATCGTGTCCCCTTTCCCCACGCCGTATGACGTCAAGCGCGTAAGAAACTCCGGCGTGCGTATACAAATGCATAGGGAAGGGGTTACGGAAACGCACTATTGTTTGTGTTATCTGTCGGCAAAATTTAGGTTTATTTGAGTATATAATATTACATACACAAAGACAAGCTCGCACAAAAACGTTACAATGAAATGCAAAGCAGATAAAATGTAAGTAGAGGTATTGTTCAAATGGTGCGCCAAGCGCGTGTAAGTGAATGGAAAATGAAGATCATGTACCTCTATTTTTTAAACAGTTTGAAAATATACCACACTAGGGCTTGTAATCAATCAAAATGTATTTAATAATTTGATATACTCACGTATGTCTAAATGGTAGAAGCAATTAAAGTATTTCCGCGTACTTACTGTAAATATCCTAGTTTACCTACATCGTATTAATCAGATTAATTATATTAAACAAATTGCTTTCAGCTTATTTTTTTAATTTTTGCATGTAATTTGTACAAAGCTTATTCTTCTATTCTAGGAAGTAGGTATCTACGTTCTTATTCGACTCGGCCACAGCGTCTCCTCGTATGATAACGAATGCCCCAATGTTATGTTTAGTTTATAAATTTTTTCGCATACGTATCTTCACTCCCGAAGTACATCTTAACCCTTCGTTTTTCGTGAATAGTTATTACATTTTGCACTCGCGCAATCAGGCATTATCGTTTAAATGTTTATTCGGTATCCTCGCGGTGTAATAAAAGCGGAAATAAAAGGTCTTCGCTATTAATAGAAGCAAAAATTCGAGTTTTCGCAATGCAGACTATCAAGTACACATATGCATAGGCCCTTCCTGTATGTTCGATAAATATAATATGCGCTACAATGCAAATTATACTTCGAAAACGAGGCCCACCATTGAATCTTTATGGGCTTACGCGCCAGATGTAACTAGAGTGACGTCATGCGCGGGCACGACGTGTTTTCGTCCGACAACTGGGCACCCGTGGTACAAAAATTCATTTGTGCGTGGCCGAATAATTGACACTTGTGGCATTGGATTATGTCAGTTTTTGCTCCTAAGTTCGTAAGTATAGAACTCGGTTTTTGAGTTCATTAGGAGTCATTTATTCTTGAGGTGAAATAGGTACCTACAATATACAATGTAGCAGTAAATAGAAATTTAGAGAAACGGTCAAATGTAATTTTCATTAATCATATGAAAATTAATAATAAAGCCGAAAATTGAATTTCTGATTCAGAAATAGCGATTCATAGCTTCTGAATTAAATTTGACGCTCTCCGAATCGAATGTGAATCTTAATGAATGGTTTAACGTAAATCCGACCCGCGTTGCTAAGCCGACCTGCGTAGCTCAGATTGGCTACAAGGCTCCTAGGTTTGAATCCCAGGTAAGGCAGGGAAGACTATCCAATTGCTAACACTCCACCCACTATAAAATAAAGGCAATAAAATTTAAAAAAATGTACTCAGTACTAATTACAACTATTTTCATAGCATTGGATGCAAGTGGCCAACCTGAATCGGGATTTCTATGGGGCAACAACTTTTGGCTGGGCTCACATGCTCAATGTTCAGATATATCAAATCGTAAACCGTTTGAAGTTAGTCCTGTAAATGTAAAACATCCGGACCAAACACCTTACGACTACCCACCATTCGATATGGCATTTGCTATGGCGTACATGAGGCACAATAGCACGCAGCAACAACATGCACAGATGCCATTGGAGGTTGGTATATTCTATATTATGGTACTACAGCACATGTCACAATTTTATTTCAAATTTAATTACGCTGCAATTTTAGAGTACAATACAACTAGGTCTCTGTGTTCCCAAATCCTGTTCTGCGATCGATTTAAAATATCTTATGGATATTTATATACCACATCGCTATTTAAAGGTGCAACAGTTGTATAGTTTAGACATAAAACTAATGCAGTTAAAAATCCTCGACAATGGAACTTGGTTAACCTTGCCAAAAACGATTATTACGTTGTAAGAACTTTTTGCCAACTGTAAAACCCTTATTGCTGCAATTCATTTTAGGTGCATACTTGCGGTTTCTACACTATTAGTAATTGCCGGAACAGTATACGACGTCAAAGTAACACAACCACGATTAAAAGAGCAAAAGCGTCTTGCTGAAAATAAATTGGAGAGAAGGGCCACGATACCCACCATAAACAGCAGTAAATATAATATTAGTGTTAGGTTAAATTCTGTTTGACCGTTGAAGTAGAATTCTTGGAATCTGCGTAATTATATACAATGGTAATAGGTGCTAAACCTTTGCAGATATAAAATCAGGCGAAGAGATACAGCAAAATGAAAAACCAGAATCCACACTGCCTCTGAGTACACCCGGAACCGCAGGCGGAATACTTCAGTGCTTTTCCATGTATTCCAATTGCAAAGCCCTAACCAAAACGAGAGTTGCACCCGATTCCATCGGTTCCATTCACGGTATCCGCTTCTTTTCCTTATTATGGGTGGTAAGCGTGCACACAATATTCTATCAAATCGATTTTCTGAAAAACGTCCCTGCTGGGTTCAGAATATCCGAAGACTTTTTCGCCCAGCCCATCAGCAATTCCACTTATTGTGTAGACAGTTTCCTATTCCTCAGGTAACTTTGTGATCATGTGTGTTGTTAAACTATCTTCACTCTCTTTAGTGGATTCCTACTTTCTTACACATTTTATAAATCGAAAGGTGCGAACATTAAGTGCAAGAGGCCTGTAAATGTTATGGGGAAAGTTGGAGAATTTTTTTCCATGTTCGTTCATCGTTACTTAAGGTAATAGCTAATCCAAATACAATGGCTAGTTTTATATTTTTAGGTTAACACCCGTGTATATAGTTACCATTTTATTTTCCGACGTGCTTTTTACCTATTACCGACAGTTTTCGTCACTTCAGGCCACTGAACAGCCCGACATTAACTGTCCCAAGTACTGGTGGAGGAATTTGTTGTACATCAATAACTTTTATCCTAGATCGGAAATGTGTTTATCCTGGTCTTGGTATTTGTCCGTCGACACCCAATTTTTTATGGTATCCACCGTTCTACTCATTTTATCTACCATGTAAGCTGCAAACTTTTAGTGCTTTTTACTTCAACCTTATATTTCAATAGTTGCTTCAAAGCGGCGGTGATACTCCTCGTTATTTGCGTGGTTATATGCATTTCTGTAACAGGATACAGCTCCTACGCTGTAGGTTATATACCATCGTAAGCTTAAAAACTGTCTTTACAATAGGGTAATGGTTATTGATTTAGGATGGATGAGCAGTACGTAAAACTAGACGCAATCTACGACTTTCCTTGGAATCGCATTGGACCGTACCTGATTGGAGTAGTCACGGGATATATACTAACTATAAAATTGGAAGGAAAATTGAATTTGAAGAAGGTAAAGTTTGTGAAGTTAAAGGAACGTTTCTCATTGATTGTCGGTTTAGCCATACTTAATTCTGATGTGGATTATATTTCCCATGATCAATTTGTGGATTGTGTTTACATTATATGGTCGTCAAGTTTCGGTCGAGTTTTCAGCTGTGTACATGGGGATATCACGAACGTTATGGGGATTTGGATTGGGATGGTTATTTATTGCTTGCGCGACCAATAACGCTGGTGAGTAAATCAACGCAGTCATGTAACGATTTCTTTTTGCGAATTTCAGGAATTGTCAACAAATTTTTGTCATTTCGTGGTTGGATACCTCTAAGTCGATTAACATACTGCGGATATCTACTTAATCCGCTAATGATACACATTATATACATGGGAGCCGAAACTGATCAAAGCGCAACTGCTGGCGGCTTCGTAAGTAACGGAGATACCTGCTTCATTCGTAAAAACCACGGACAATTTACAGGCGATGGCAATTTTTGGTACCTTTATAATATCCCTAATTATGGCGTTTTTTCATTCGCTGTTTTTTGAATCACCATACATACTCCTCACGAAAATGCTTTCCAACAAACTGCGCAAAAGAAGTAATCTTACAGAAGCATCTTAGGAAACATTTTCTTTAAACGTAGCGTTGGTTAGCTGTAGGGTTGAAATATGAACCTACAAAGAAGGTTTTCCCAGTGAATGCCATCAAGCCCGTGGTTTTGAAAGATACCACCTACTCGAAATTCACACAGTACAAAACTTACAAATCAGTAGTACTTCACCTACGTATAGGTGCTTGTATACGATATATATTCTTTATTTCTTCAAACTTTTAAATAGCGCCTTCTTTGTAAGTTAATTAGTCGGTTCTTTTGTCTCATTTAATCTTGCCTGGTACGAACCTCTTATACGGATACATTTGTTTCCATGGAAAGTAGCTGTTAGATAAGGTTAACTGAGGCAAGAAAAGCGGCGTGGGTGATATGTTGGATGCCGTTATCAAAATATGTTTGATCACATGATATTAAACTAAGACTGAGTGTATTTTCTGAATATTAGTGGACAAGTAGAATCAGTATTGATATTAAAACGTTACGGCCTCTTTGCAAGAGCTGGTATGTGTGTAGGCAATTGTAATCTAATTTTTTATTTAAGGTTTCTACTGCACTTTAATTAAATCAATGATAAACGAGTGTTTTTATTTTGTTTTTATGCGGTCTCAAGTAAAATTAGTAAAACTTACAGCAAAAACTCAACAACCGTAGCAAACTTTTAAAGTATTTCGCCAGCGAAGATGCAGTATTATGACTGTTGAATAGTCTAGTTCGCTGGTGATGACAACATACTCGAACCTCAAGTCCATTGATCATGCAATAAGGGGTGTTCGCTTCTGGTACGGTGAGTGAACGAACCACGATAAAGTGAAGTCATGCAATTCATATACGGCCGGTATTATAAAGCATACTTAACTATATTGTCAGAAGCTAACAATGTTAGGGATGCGAATGGATGTTTTTGCAAAGAATGTTATTATATGAAAAAACATCCAATCACATATCTTAACAACATTGTTAGCTGACAACATAGTTAACTATGCTTTATAGTACCGGCCGTAAGTGTTATAATCTTTATTTAATTTTTTTTTCTATTAATTAAATTGCACTTCTAATTATTCTATTTATCTTGATTAGTCACCGTTGGTCCCCGAACCGCTAAAGTTCATTCAAAATCCCATTTATAAGCGGTAGTAAAGTCAACGAAGTCACTATTAAAGATGCTTATCCTTTACCGTTTATAAATGCGATTTTGGACTAACTTTGGTAGTTTGTATACCAATGGAGACTAATGAAGTAATTTTGAGCCAGAAATGGAGCCCCGAGAGTTCGCTTATCTAGACGACATCATCATGTTGAGAAGAACGTTCAACAAGCACTTTGAGGGAAGTTTTCCGCCGTCCCCGTTGGCGCAGTCTCGAAATCAAAAGTGTCAATTTTCCCGTCCGTCTCTGAAATATTTCAGCCATGTTGGGAGTGATAGAGTTCCTAAACCGATCCAGATAAAGTAGATGCCATAGAACAGTTATCGACTTCTCATAATATTAAAGCCGTCAGAAGATTTCTTGGGGTTGGTTCTTGGTACCGCCGTTTTGTCCCGAAGTTCTAGCTCCACAGACCAAAATCCTCCGGAAACACCAAAAATGGACTCTTGGGGAAAAAGCAAAAGATGAATCTTTCCAAACACTCAAACAAGTGCTAACTAACGCACCGATCCTAGCTTGTACCGACTTTGACCGACCGTTCGTTTTACAAACCGATGCCTCCAACATAGGACTGAACGCAGCTCTCACCCAGCAAATTGATGCAGAAGCTCTCATGCCACCCGAACCTTAACATCTGCCGAGAAAAATTATTCCGCCGAGCGTTTTCCAAGCAGGCGCACGATTACAATCGCCGACGCCGAGAATAGAAACCCCATGCGGGTGATTTGATCCTCCGTAATGACCATCCCCTGTCCAAAGCTGCCATGGGTTATGCCGTCAAATTAACTCTGAAATATTCCGTCCCATATGTGGTGTACAAAGTGGAATCTCCCGTAGTATTCACGCTCAAACATCCCCACCTGGGCGAACGAAGATCCCAAGAGTCCACAGAAAGATTTAAAGCCGAATCGATATGGGAGCAGGCATAAATTTAATAACCGTATCCCGTACTTAGACTTCCGTATTGTCTTTCCGACCCGGAGTTTTGTTTATTTTAGTATAGCGTGCCGAAAAGAGTTGCATTTTTTCTTTCCTAAGAAGGGGGGGGGGGGGGGGGTAACGAAGTTACTAGTTTGCCGCCCTGAAGTTTCATATCCGAAGTTATGACCACAGCGTATATTTGTGGAGTCGACAGCTTTGCTGAACACCCGATATCTAGAAGCGTCTTAAGTTGAGCGCTTCGTTACTAAGAAATAGTTCCTGAATTTAATTACTTACTCGAGGAGAGGAGGAGCGAGTTTGTGTGTTTTTATTTTGTTTGTCTTACCGCCGATAACGCAAGTAAGTTAAGTAGTTAATTTATCAGTTTTACGATCGTACCAGTAGGAATATCTAAATTGTTTTTTACAGCCGCCAAAAGCTCTCTTACCAGAGAAGAAGAGACCAAATTAATATTTTTGAATTTCAGCCATGATTCTATGGTAAATTTAAAATGAGCATTAAAATCTGCATGGTCGTGCATTTTATTTCGTTATCGCAGACACTTTACGATTGACTCGAAATTCCAATTAGCAATGTATGTTAATTAGAATACCACATCTGTTACAGTAAATTTCATCTGATTAGATTGAGCCGGGTGTCATTGGAAATGCGCTTAATTATTTTGAATTTTGGTATCAATTGCACATTTTTAGAACAGCAGCAGGCCGCACAATTAAGTGAAAGAAGTTTTAATTTTCGAGGATACATTTCTCTCTACAAGAGCCGAATTTTATATAAAGTAAAGCCGTTTTTTACGAGTGGGGAGGGGGGCCTTTTTTCTTTGCTTTTGGCACTTAACTGAATAGTAAGTAAATACTTTTAGCTTTTGAATTTTTGCTCATTATATTTGTAACTACCGTATTAATCTTTATCGTTAGCGTAAATTAATTTTGCATCCGTACCGTTTCAGTTTTGCTTTTGCATTAAATTACCCCACCGTATTCATTGGAATTGTCAGTTAGGAAACTTTTGCTACCGCTCCGTTAATTTCAAGGTAAGCTTTTTGTTTCGCTAATATTTATTTAATTTCATAAGCTCATCGAGGTGCACTTACTACCCCAAGTTCGTCGCAAGTAAGCAAATACATATTTATGCTTTGTTAGCATTCAAATTTGAAAATATTAGACTTAACAGACTTAAGACAAATTTAGGATTTTTACTGCATACCTAATTTAATAAGTTTGTTTGTTTTTTCAGATTAACGCATACTTGGTGTCAATCTGTTGATTTTCTAGTGCATCTGCAAAATAACTAGGTAATCTACGAAGTAAACGCATTTTTCGCACTTTAAAGGACTTAAATATATAATTTGCAGATTAACTAGATAATCTGGACTTGAACGGTTTTCCGCATATCAACGGTAAAATATACACTCAGAAGCAAGTTGCAAAATTACCACTTGTATGAAGCAAATAATGTAAACTCAAATTTAGGTTTCCAGGAAATAATCCTACCAACAATACTAATTGCAAGATAGACAATAACTTAATATACAGTGTGTCCCAGGTAGAACGCACCAAAGGAAATGGCAATGTATTTTTTCGGAAAGGATCAACGAGGCCTTTGAAATTTCCGTTCAACATACTCCAATTCCTTTCTAGCACCAGGCAAGTGCAATAACGTATGTTGAACGCTAACTTCAGATAGGTACATATCAAAGGCTTCGGAGATCCTTCGCGAAAATTGTGTTTCTCTATGGTGCGTTCTTCCTGGGACACACGATATACGTAATTAGGGGTAATTAGCATGTTTAATGCGCCCCATAATTAGATACAATAGAAGTCCACCCGCATATCGCGAGAATCATATCCCAAAATATCACAAAAAGTATTGTGACTTAATTTGTAACACTTGTTATTAGGTGCGGTCAAATAACACCCTGTAGGCCATTTTTGCCAATATCTTGAAAGGTAAAAAAGATAAGTAGTTTGGGATTGTTTTGTTTGTTACCTCTATATAACTGCAAGAAACAATGTAAAAAAGGGGCATTACATTTAAGTTTAAGTTTAAGCATTAAGTTAAGTAATTGATTTTAATTATACAATCAGCCCTGTGATGTATCAGAATCGTCAAACTTAAAGTGCCGGATATCTGCTAAAAAACGTTGTTTTGCGTTATTTAGTGTGGGCCACGGTATAAGACACCGTGGTGTGGGCAAAATTACGTTTTCTACAGATAACCGACACACGTTAAGTGTAACCTGTAGTTTAACTTTAGGGATACATCACAGGATTGATTACTATCACTCTTAATTCGCTTTGCCTGACATACTGTCGAAATCGATAAGCTAAAGAAAAATTAATTTTTTTTTTCACAGAGTTGTTCGAAAATGTTCCAACAGATTATCATGGAGAACTTTGTCGATAAGACTACTCAGTATGCTTGGAATTCCAACTGGTAATGGACACAATTTAAATACTTTCAGAAAAGTATCTTCTTGCCCATACAAAATTTGTGTTATTTTTTGCTTATATAAAGAAATTTCGCGGAAACTTACGTGAATGATACGTGCTGCACTCTTGTTAATATCTTAAAAGACATTTTCGGGAGTTTCTCCCCATTCTGTAATTAAGTGGGATGGTATAAAAGAAAGTCTCGCACTGTTACCTACAACGGTTGCAGAAAACTCCCAAGTTGCATTATTTGGAAACCTATGAAGTGGCGCCAACTCTCGGGCTTTCCTAGCACGCTTATTGAAAATGAATCCATTTTCTATATAATATTCGCAGGCTGGCGGCTGCTTCACATTATTATAATTTGAGCGGTTATGCTCCATTCAAGAAGCTATAATGCGGACCACGCAAATGTTAATTTGTTGTAGAAATTGCATACAAGGGTTGTTTCATTCTCAATCATTTGAAATTTTATGTTCAGCACTCGCATCGCCGTCGTCCAATATAAAGATGTCATTATGTTTCCCAGGGAATAATTCAATATTTTATGTGAACTGTTATGGCGTAGAAAGTGATTTAATGAGAATCTTGTAAGACGGATGGCAATTTTAAGCAGTGCGGATGAAAACATAAATCAATTCCCCCCAGTGTTACTACAGTCCACAAAAAGTGGACACATTTATCTGCTCTGACGAAAATAATTTTAAAGCAAAAACACTTCATCCCCCTATCACACGGGACCACTCTAGTCCTTTTTAGTTGAAGGCGTTTCTAATAAAAGAGGTCCTAAGGGAAAAAATTTTAAATGATACAAAGAGATTGCTTCATGACGAAGACGGTTAACCAAAACTTTGTTTCTTATAATGTGGTTTTACATTCAACAGCAATCCGGTTGGTCCTATAAAAGGCACGAATGGAAAAAGTTTACAATTTTAACAAGAGAAAATGTGACGAAGCTTATTCACAAACTTATAGGATCACAACATGTTTTATTATAAATTTATTATTACATGCGTTGCTATATTTATCACATGCGGGTGCAGAAAATAAGAATTATAGT